AGCATCGTTGGACTTTTACAGTTTGTTTCCTGGTGATAGTGTCCGGTCCCGCCGATGACCAAATGATTGTCCATCTGAATGTTGATCGGCGGAACCGTAACGTTTAGTCCTTTGATAATGGACGTTTTGGAGCTCCTCTTGCCTTGGCGACCTTCCATGATTCAGTAAAACAACCTAAAATTTCCATGTTAAAATGATAAGCTTACTAAAAACGATTTGATGCACAACGAAAAGAAAATCTACCAGCAATTCGATGTTCATCGGCGACGTAGGATATGTCGAGGCTGATCTCCCTAATACTACGAAACAGATTTGTTCATGGTAGAAAATAATGGTCCAGTACTCAAAGAATCCGGCGAAACAAACTTATAAAATATCAGAAATAGCGAATGATGCATATGGACAGAAGATTGAGATGCTAATATTGAGAACAGAGAATAAACATTCAGTTTTGGAACGAACAATTCTATCAAATTGAGAAAATCGAAGATCCTAGGCTCGATTCAAATTGCAAAGTAACATGTACACATTGTGAAAAGGACATCAATTGAAACGGAAAAGGAGATTGGTGCAGCGTTGAAAATCGAAGCCGTGAACGCTCGAAGGCAAACAAAAAAACTTGACTTAATCTTACAGTGACGGAGTAAAAGAAACGGAAGATTGATTTTAAATTCTTCAAGATCGGATAGAAAGATCTCAAACTGACAGAGTAAAATAGCGAATGATGGATACGGACAGAAGATTCAGATGCTAAAATGGAGAACAGTGAAGAAACATTCAGTTTCAGAACAAACAATTATATCAAAATGAGAACATCAAAGATGCTAGGCTCGGTTCAAATTGCAAATTATCACGAATACATTGTGAAAATGACATCAATTGAAACGACAAAAGGAGATTGGTACAGAGTTGAAAATCGAAGCCGTGAACGCTCAAAGGCAGAAAAAAACTTCATTCGATCTCACACTGACAGAGTAAAAGAAACTGAAGTAGATCTCACACTGACAGAGTAAAATAGCGAATGATGGATACGGACAGAAGATTGAGATGCTAAAATGGAGAACAGAGAAGAAACATTCAGTTTCGACAAACAATTCTATCAAAATGAGAAAATCAAAGATGCGGGGCTCGATTTAAATTGCAAATTAGCACGATCACATTGTGAAAACGACATCAATTGAAACGAAACTGGAGATTGTTGCAGAGTTGAAAATCGAAGCCGCGAACGCTCAAAGGCAAAAGAGAACTTCATTCAATCTCACACTGACAGAGTAAAAGACACTGAAGATTGATTTGAAATTCTTCAAGCTCAGATACGAAGCAGGAGAAAGATCGTCCTTTTGCATAAGGAGAAAAGTCGTTTGGACTGGAGTGGAGCACGTAGCTTGGTGAGATCAAACGAAGAAGTACCTGGAAAAATTCCGAGTTCCGATGCTTCAGATTGTTGATTCCACTGTTTAGAGGCTTCGACTCAGAGAGAGAAATTAAAGTTACATTTCTTTGGCATCGTCTGGAGACCATCGTTGGGAGCTTCGAGCTTGGGAGAGAAGCAACATTATCCCCATAAGGGCAGAATTCATAACCGAGCTGCACATTGATTACAAAATATATATATATCATATCATTCTCTGACGTCACCCGGACTCAGACTCAGTGGTATGAACTTTTCCCATATATATATAACCAACAATATATTTTTTTTTCTTTTTTTTGAATGTATAACCAACAATATCTAGCCATCTAGGTGCTTATGTTTCAAAAAAAAATAATAAAAGAAACTTAGGCCCATGCTCATTACCCAGCGTATGTCTTGGCCACGAAGACCCTTAAAAAATTAACATCTCATCATTTTTTTAAAAAAGAGAAAACAATATCGCCTTTTATTTTTCTTTCTACTTGTCAAAAAATTAATAATAGTTAGTAAAAAAAAGTGAACCGATAAAACCCAAAGTACTTTTTATACATAACCAAATGTAAAAAAAAAATTAAAATTGATGTTGGAGCTCGAAATTGCTGAGCTCGGATGTAACGTAGATCGGAACGTGCAGGATGAATTACGGCCAACGGTTTAACACCTTCCCAAAACACTCTTAAGACCTGCAAAACAAAGTTAGCACTCTGACGAGTAAGTTAGTTCTAGTCCGAGCTAACTTGCTGAGTCTCTTTAGGATTGCGTACCTTGCATTTAAGGCAAGGGTTTCTATTTATAGAAACTGGACCCAACAGGAATTCTGACACACCCTAAAAATGCGGCGTGTTGTCGGGTTCGGAAGATACCGCGTTACGGACTTCATCATAGGTCGGCTCGGTGTCCTAGCTCATACTCCGTCTACCGACCTAAGTGTTTTGTAGTCAGTTTTCAATTTTCAATTTTTATATTT